TCACAAATGATGCAGCTTTAACAAACTCTTGGGGGGAAATAAATTATCTTTCAATTCCATTTTTCCATAAAGGTTTTGAAGCCTCTTCATATTTGGACTCAACAGGCGACTGACAGAAATTCAAACAAGATTCAGAAGAGGATGTGAAATGAGGGCTATCTTTGCTGATATCAGATGTATCTTGGCTGAAAGCAAGGAATATTGAAAAGATGTTTACTTGTACTTTATTGACTATGTAAAGGCTTTGGATTGTGTGGATCATGACACTCTGTGGACAACATTGTGAGGAATGGGCATTCCAGAACACCTAATTGTGCTCGTGAGGAACCTGTACATAAACCAAGAGTCAGTCAGTTGAAAAAAACAAGGGGATACTGAATAGTTTAAAATAAGGAAAGGCGTATGCCAGGGTTGTAGTCTTTCACCATATTTATTCAATTTGTGTGCTGATAAAATAATCTGAGATACTGAATTTTATGAAGAAAAATGTAGTGCCAGGATTGGAGGAAGACTCCTTAACAACTTGCAATAATCAGATGACATAATCTTGCTTGTTGAAAGTGATGAGAACTTAAAATACTTACTGATAAAGATCAAAGATTACAACCTTCAGTATGGACTGCATCTCAATATAAAGAAAATGAGAATACAACTGTACCAATAAATAACATCAGGATAAATGGAGAAAAGTTTTAAGTTGTCAAATATTTAATTTTGCTTGGATTCACAATCAGCACTCATGGAAGCAACAGTCAAGAAATAAAACAGTGTATTGTGTGAGGCAAATATACTGCACATGACCTCTTTAAAGTGTTCAAGGGCATATATGTTAGTTTTAAGATGTGTCTGAACCAAGCCATGGTATTTTCAATAGTCTCATATTAATGAGAAAGCTGGACAATGAATAAGGAATGTTGTTGGAAAAGAATATAAAAAATATCATGGGCTGTCAGAAGAAAAAACACATCTGTTTTGGAAGAAGTTCAGTAAGAATGCTTCTTAGAAGAGAGGATAGTGAGACTTCGTCTCTCAAACTTTGGACATGTTATCTGGAGAAGGACATCATGCTTGGTAAAGTGGAGGGTCAATGAAAAAGTGGAAGACCCCTAATGAGGTAAACTGGCACAGTGGAAGCAGAACTGTGACAGCAATTGTGAAGAGTGTGCAGGACCAGTCAGTATTTTGTTCTACTGTACATTTGATTCACTGTGAATCAAAACTGGCTTAATGATACCTAACAACAACAAATATTAATTAAAGAGTTCATGGAAAAATGGAATGGAAAAAATATTGAAAAATTTCCACAAACTTTTGAAACCCTCTTATATATATTATTGCTGTTATTAAGTGCCATTGAGTTGGTTCTGAGTCATAGTGCCCTTATATAGTGTTTCCAAGGAGTGCTTGGGGAGTTGAATCACCAACTTTGTGGCCAACACCCAGTGCTTATCCTACAGCACCACACCACAACTCCTCTTACATATGCATACACGCATATATAGAGACATATGCTTACATGTGTGCATGCATTGTTGTTCCTAAGTGCCATGGAATCAGTTCCAACTCACAGTGACCCTGTATAAAGTTTCCAAGGTTTTAAATCTTCATAGGAGCAGAACTTCTCATCTTTCTCCTGCAGAACAGCTGGCAGGCTTGAATTGTGGACTTTGTGATTCGCAGTCCAGTGCTTACCGTATAAAGTTACCAAAAAAAAAAAAATCAGCAGAGATAATTTCCTAAACTGTTTAATCTACCTAGAGACCAGACTGCTGGAGAAAGTTGGAAAGATTCATTATTCATTATGATGGTTCTGCTGGAGGAAGTTGGAAAGATTCATTATGATGGTTGTTCAAGTCTGAAAATTTAGACAGAGAAAAGAATTTTGAGGAAGGAAGACAATGTCCTTTCACTGAAAGCAAAATGAAAGGCTTACCAGGAACAGAAGAAAGATCCCCGTGAAAGACAGAGGGAACATTTGGTTCAGACATTGAATTTCACATTAAACTTCCCCCCAAAATCGAAGTCTAAGCCTTTGAAGCTATTTGTGTATAAGTGGTTGTTTTGAGTCCCCAATTCACTCCACACTGCCATGTCCCAGGGACTCTGGCATAGAATTTGGATCAAAGATATCAGTCACAGTTCCACTAAACCATCACTCTGCACTTAACAAAACACCTTAGAAAAGGGCAGCAGAAATACATTATCCATCGGAAAATTTAAGAGTCTTCAACTAAATAAAGCACGAAAGTGTGGTCTGGAAGCTTCTACGGTATGCTGTGTGCAACAATGGAATGAAGACACATCATCTAGGTGGCCCCAGAGACAAAGGTGACAGACACCCAGCAGTGCTGTTCCCACTCGAAGGATTTTGAAGAAATTGGGTCTTATCCCAAGCACAACATAGCAGAGAATACAGTACAGAATGAAAATGGACTTCCAGTGACATTATAAAGAAATGATGGTACTAAATAACTATATAAGTGGCCTTTTCCTGATTAATCACAGGAGTAAAAACTGAAAAACTCAGATCCCAGCAGCTTTCTGGCAGAAATGGGAAAAAAACAAAAAACAAAAAAAAAACCAATATTAAAATAAAAAAAAAAAAGAAAGAAAGAAAAGTGGCAGAAAGACATTTACTACTTTTAATGTTTTTGTAAGTCGTTGAGAACTACTCAAAAGAGAGAGTGGATTGACAAGGACGGACTAAATGGCCTATAACCCAACAATTGGCCATTTTCTTAGGAGATAAGAGTACCTGGGGAAAGTTTCAGTAATGTGAAAAAGAATGTGTGCTTCCTACAGTTTTATTTTAACCTCAGTCTAATAATGCTTAGGAAAATGTACAACTCACAGGTCTAAAGTCTTAAATAAACTCCTCCTGTTTCCTTTAATCTTTCTATGTAGCTCTGATGAATACAAATACAGATGAATACATTGAATCAGTTATCATGGGATCTACAAAGCTAGAGATGGTCCAGGGCATGACTCCATTTGGTCAAACAAGTCTTTCAAGGTGTGTTGGCATTGCTAAATCCTTGGGTATTACTCCCTTCTATTTTACAATTGCTGAATGCCAAATTATCATTACTTTATAATATTTTTAGGTCATTGTATTTAAGTTCTTACATGGTTGATATCTTTTGCATATTCTAGCTCTGGCATTCTAAGAAGAAAGAGCTTCTAGTAAGAGGTAGGGAATAGGGAAATTGTAAATTAGATACCTGTGAAAATGGAAAATCACCCCAGGCTGATTTTCACAAGATGAGGTAGAAGAGACTAGTAATATGTTTAAAAAGGAACTCAAAGCAGTCTCACTGGATCTATGGCAATGTTGGAAGGAGGATGCCGAGGTGATGTTTGCAGGAAGCTGTGACAGGGTTGTTGGAGGATGATGTGGTTAAAAGCATGCACTCAATTGACCATAATCTTTATTTGAAACTGGCATAGTTTCCTAAACTTACCAAAGAGATTTTAAAAAAGAGTGGTAACTCCATTCATGAGCTCTGTTGTTAGTTCTGCTCAACAGACTTATCTGATATTTTGAGTAAATTCTTAAAATATCTCTGAACCTTGATTTTTCCTATTTGCCAAAGGAGATACGTAGACACTAGCACCTTTTCAATTGCACAGGTAAGGAATTTAGCTTTGCCAATTAAGGAAACATCATGAGAATCCAACATGGTGCACTCTTACAGAGAAATCTCCTGAAAGCCTCACCAATAATTGACTGGTAGAGCCCTTCTTTCTGATGCTCTCAAGCTCTGAAGAGCAGAACGTTAAAACCATCAGGCACCAACAAATTCTTTTATAGAAATAACTATCAAAAGCTGTTAAAAAACCATCTGTTTCTTTGGCTGTTTTTCCTTTCAGTGTTTTTTTTTTTCATGTGTTTTTTGCTAACAACAACAAAAAAAATCTCTTCTAAAATAACCAAGATGCTGTGACTAAAAATGCCAGAGGTATCTATCCAGTTTATGAGAAAAATTGTTTTCCAAGGAAGAGTTTAGTTTATATTATGTAGAGGAAGGCAACATTTCCACAAATATTATAGTTGCACTAAGAAAACAGCTGACTACTTTCATTAACAGAGAATGTGACAAGGTTTGTAATTGATTGTGTAACTGAATTTTACGCTGCCGAAGTTTGTCAGATCTGAAAGCTATTGAAGCTTTGATCATATTTTTACACTGAAGGAAACTGCTTAAGAAATTCTTTTAGTTTATAACAGGTTTTCCGCTGCCCTGAAAGAGCCACCGGTCATTAGTCTATATTGTTGCATAATGCCTATTATCTCAGGTACTTCCAGGGATGATTTTCTCCCGACTTTTGGGAGGGGAAAATTGCCTACCAATTAACTGCTCTGTGTTGATGTCTTCTGCTTAGATGCTGGGGACATAGATCAATGACCTAAAAATAGGGAGCTATGCATGTTTTAAGGAGCTCTGATGGTGAAATGGTTAAGCACTTGATTCCTAAACAAAAGTACAATGGTTCAAGCCCATCAGTCACTCTACAGGAGAAAAGATCTGGCAATCTGCTTCCATGAAGATTTCAGCCTAGGAGACCCTATGGGGCAGTTCTACTCTGTTACGTAAGGTCATTAGGAGCCCTGGTGGTGCAGTGCTTAAAGCACTTGGCTGCTAAAGAGGCTATGCATGGTTTGCACACACCAGCTGCTCCATGGGAGAAAGATGCAACCTAAAGATTACAGCTTTGGAAACTCTATGGGGCAGTTTACTCTGTTCTATAGGGTTGCTAGGAGTCAAAATGGAATCAATGGCAATGGGTTTATTCGGTCACTATGAGTTGTAATTGACTCAATGGCCCACAACAACAACAACAAAAATAGTATCCATGTTTTCATTCTAGTTCTAGTCAATTCATTGCTCTGTAGCTCACCTACACAATGTTATGTCTCATTATCTTAATGCAAATTGTCAGCAGAGTTTCCATTTCATATTCAAAAGGTCATTAATGGAGCATCATTCCTTCTCTCTCACCTGGGTTCACCTTGATTGATGGACATATAAATCTCCCAAGAATTCTCTTCAGGGATGGCGCCATGTGGTATGAGTAAACTCACCCCTAAAACACAAAAGGCCAAGTGATTATTCATAAAATTTCCACTGATATTGAAGTACCTCACAAAATTATGGATGCTCACAAAAATACCTTCTCATTGCAATTCATAAAATCCCAAACCTTGGAAAGTTTATTAGAGTAAAAAACAATTAAGGGGAAAATATTGTTCTCTAATGGTAATGAGCTCTGGTAGCGTAGTGGTTGCAAATCGGGCTGCAAGCCGCAAGGTCAGCAGTTCGAAACTACCAGCGGTTCCGTGGTGGTCTGCTCCCATAAAGATTTACAGCCTCAGAAACCCTGTACAGGATCACTGTGAATTGGAACCGACTCCACGGCATATAACCACCACCACCAATGGTAACATGAAGAATTATTTAGTTGAGTATTCAAATTGGGTTTTTATTTTAAATCTCTGCAGTATTTTTTTTTAAGTTTTTTTTAAGAGATTGTATGCTCTAAGCACTTTCCAATATAGATGAGGATAGAAGACTTTATCAATGTGTTGGTTAGTTGGCTTCAGATTTTAAAACTGTATTTCTATATCTTGTCTATATTCATTCATTTCCTGAAAAGGTACCTGAGATGATGGGTGAGCTATCTCACATTTTGGTAGAACCTGAGATGAAATAGCCTGGCAAGCGGTGTATTTGGGAGTAAAGTGTAGGTAAGTGCTCAATGGACACATTGTCCAGGAAACTGGAGAAACAAGGAGTATCTAATAAGCTTAGGAAAATAAATAGTTGTTGGGTAACTACTGTTGTTGTTGTCAGTAAGTGTCAGTAAGTAACCTTGTGGTTAGCAGTCCATTGCTTATTCTATATCACCACACCAGAAATTCCTAAATTTGCAAACAGAGAAAAGGCTAAAGTTACAGATGCTTTAAGCATATTCATGCCAATGTAAAATTGAAAAACAAAACTAACCAAAAAAAACATAGTCTTATTTCAGTAAAATCGTATAATGCAGTCAGTGCAGGCACAAGAAAACACATCACACTGTATTTAAAATGCGTGATTTCTTCTTGTGAATGCTGAGAAGTAAATACTTCACTTTGATCAAGAAAAAATGTCTAGAGAGGGCAGCGATTCTCTTTTAATATAGACGCTTGGTTTTGGTTGGTTGGTTGGGTGTTGTCAAATCAGTTCTAACTCATTGCAACCTTTATAGAGTTTCTGAGGCTGTAAATCTTTATAGAAGCATTAAACCTCATCTTTCTCCCATGAAGCAGCTGGTAGATTTGAACTGTTGATCTTTCGACTAGCAGCTCAGTTAGTAATCCACTATGCTACGACAAAAGAGTAAAATATAGGCACAGTGAAATAAAATCTCCGGGCATCCTCCTATTCTTTGACTAATGTGGCTCTCAACCAGTCTCCATTTATTAGAGCTAATGTAATTGCACAAAGACTTTTGGGTTGCTGATGATAATTTAAATCTAAAGAGGGCAGACCTTACCGATATCCTTCCCTGCTATAGAATCAAGGAATTCAAGACTCATTGCAAAACAAGTTCTTTTTTATTCACATTTATGAGCATTATTCAGTAACATGCTATTTATCATCAGTATCTTTCACTATCGCTAAGAGTGAGGGATATTTAAATCTTGCTTACAGCCTTTCAACAAGGAGATCCATTTATATTCTGGACCTTAATGTCAATATAGGGAAACTGTAATTGCCACACTTAGGGGCCTTCGAGTAGGCTCCTCCTTCAATTTCCTTAAATGTGGCTGCCAAATGAGGTAGCTTCTATTACATCCTTCTCTGTTGTTGAACAAAAGCAGTAATGCACAGGATATTCAGTGTGTCTGGACACCAAACTAAATACACATCCTAAACATTTGGTTTGTATTTTTAGTTTGACATATCACTGCTCCCTGCAGCTTCTTGTTTTAGGCTGTTGTAACAGAGATATTCAGCCCTAATTTTTTACATATAGAATCACAGGAACATATCATCTAACAATAATGGCATTTTATAATAGTAGCACTTAACATGATGCCTGAATGAGTAGATATTCAATAAATATATCATGATTAAATGAATGGATGAATAGAATTCAAATTTCTTAGTAAAAATGCCATGTCCGAAGACATACATTCTTCTGTAGATCATCCGGGCTTGACAGTCAACTCCCAGATCAAATCAGAAGAAATATGTGCATGGAAGTTTGGAAACGAACTACTTGTAGAGCAGATCACATCTCACTCCTTTCATGTCAATTAATTCCCTATGTTTAGATTGAAACATTATTCAGAATACTTCTACATTCAACCTGAATCAGCAGGATTATTGAAGCTTTAAACTATTTCTTCTTTCCTTCAATCCAAAATTGTATTATTATCCTTTGGATATACTTTGCTCTTTCTACCCAAACATACAAATTTTTGGAGACTGCAGATACTTCAACACAGAGGCAAGGGTCATGGGGGTGGTAATTGTGGCAGCAAATTATATTTTATGAAGAATGAGAGGCACTATGAAAGAGTTTTCTGCCTATGGGCCCCTAAAGAAACATCCATTTTCAGTATGTCATTCACCAGTTATTTCTGATTAAAGAAAAATATACTCCCTCAAACTACACCTGCTACCCTGACAGCCTTTTATTTGATATGACAACAGAACCACCTGTTTGAGTTTCAGATTTCATACTTTGCATAACAAATGATCTCTAATGAGTGGAGACCACCCTGATCTTTTTCAGAAATCATTGCTAGACACCATATGACAATTTTCCACGGATGGTGTTAGAACAATCTCATTTCTGTGCCTTGCTTTCTTTACACTTTAGCTCCCCAGGGCATATTTTGCATTTATGTCCTGCAAATAATTGAACATATGTTTCAATTCCCCACACTTCTTTTTCCTCAAACTCATTCCCAGTGAGCAGCTTTAATATTTTCCAGGACTTCTTGTTAAGTGATTGGAAAATGGTCCTTCCACAGAGGAACGGTTTGAGAATCACTGAAAAAACTATCATAACTCTTTGTTTTCAGCAGAAGTGCTTCTCAAGCCAGAGGGGAGGAGGTTAAAGAATCTCTGGGTCACCATCAATCATCTAGCTTTCTTTGATTAACACTGAGCATACATAGCCAATGAATAGGTTAGTCTTGCACTCCCTCCATATGTGTGTAAATGAGGATGTGTGTTAATGATGCTGAGAAGAGCTGAGTATTGGCTAATTTACTCATCCAATAACAATTAAGAGTCTTCTAAGGGCTGCTGGTGTGACACTGGGACTCCTGTTGTGGTGTTGTAGCATCAGCACTGGACTGTGAACCACAAGGTCACCAGTTCAAGCCTACAAGTTGTTCCTTAGAAACCCTATATAGAGTCACTATGAATTGGAACTGACTCAACAACACTTAGCAGCAAATGCCCACACTCCACTGAGCTAGAAAGTCCAGATGAGATGAGTCAGGATGCATAATAATACACATCTTTATACAATTCTGGTGTATATATCCTACTGTCCTTGAGAAGGAAGGAATTGCATGCTTACCTTTTCTTTTCTAGAACCCATGCTACTTGTTTATGGGTTGGTACAGAGGGTATTTGGTAAATATGAATGGCTGGCTCATTTTGCAGCAAGTCTCCAATATTTGTATGCTAGGTTCTTGGTGAGGCGATGTGTAAAATAAGCAATGGACTGCTAAGTAGCTATAAGGTTGGCTATTCAAATACACCAGTTGCTCCTCAGAATTTCAGTACCAGGTTGCTATGAGTCAGAACAAATTCGAGGACACTTAACAACACTTAACCATCAAGGAATATTGCATCACACATAGACACTCAGACATATTTAAATGTAGATTGCTACCATGTCCTAAAACAGTGACTGAGGAAGATTCAGCAAATTGGAAAGTCAAAAGGCAACATCATTGTTAGGGCTGCATTAAGAGGGAAGTATGTCTGAAGTAGAGTTTGTTAGGAGATGATTGATCTAGAAGAACAAGATAACATTCATCATCTTGAAATAAATTCTAGTTTCATATCTCCAAGCTACTAGGGGGGATCTGCTAGCTGGAAGCATTAGACTAGTCCAATTTTAGATTTCATTTTACAAGAAAAATGTTTGATTTGGAGGGGCTTGATAGTTTCACCTCAGAGAGAAATGTGCCAAGGAATGTGGCCCTAACAGCCGTGATTTGGTGCTAACCTATTGCTTAATAACATTAGTAGATTCAGTGGAATCTTTATTATCCTAGTAGTCAACAATGCTGTGATTCAACTCACTACTCAGAAATCAGGGAAGATACTGACCCCTTCTGCAATTCTGTTAGGTCTCTAAAGTATCTCTGAAGACTAACCCACAGATAGAATATCATTTCTAAAGTGATCTCGCCTGGATACCTTCGTTTTCTTGCCAAAGCATTTATAAAATTTTCTCTCTTCCTACCAGATGAAGGGGAATAAAACTTTAAGAAATGCTTATGCTTATGACATGGCTTAAAAATTGAAGTTTAAATCCTTATTAGTATAAAGTAGCATGGCAGCCAGCTCTATGGACATTGGCAGTGATTAGTACGCCAGTGAGTGGTAAAGTTACTCACTGAGTATTATTTCACTAAATTTTCTGTTGTTGTGTGACATGCAGTCCTTTCTAACTCCTAACAACCCTATATAGAGTTTCCAAGGAGAGATTGATGGATTTGAGCCACTGAACTTGTGATTAGCATCTCGTGCATTTCCTAGAGTGCCACACCAGGACCACTACCTGGCTTGTTGTTTGCTGTGGTGTACCACTGAGTTGGTTCCAAATCATAGTGACCCTATATAAGGTTTCTGAGAGCAGCTGGTAGGTTTGAACTGGTGATAGTTTGGTCAGGGCAGTTAGCAGTTCAGTGTTCATCCTACAGCACCACATCAGGGCTCTCACTAATTGTCTGTTGTTGTTGTTGTTGTCAGGTGCTAACGAGTCGGAACCGACTCATAGGGACGCCATGCCCAGCAGAACGAAACAGTGTCCGATCCTGGGCCAACCTCACTACTGCTGCCACACTTGACGCCATTAATGATGCCAACTGGCTGATCTGTCTATTAGTACATAAATTATGTTGTTGTTAATTGCTGTTGAGTTAATGTTCCAACTCATAGTGACCCTGTGGTAAGGTTTCCGAGGAGTGACTGGTGGGTTTGAACCGCTGACCTTTCCGTTCAAACTGCCCTTTCGATCCAGTGCATTATCCTGCAGTATCACATAAATATGGGTCTTGGCAGTCCTGTCATGGAGCTTGTCAGAGAATATTTTCAATATTTGCTAATCATGCTACTGGAAATATATTTCAAAGGATTTTAAGACTTGAGGAACTATCCAAACATTTTGAGCAAATATGACTATCAACTCTAACTGGGTATCAAATGAAGTGTTCAGACCATGTTGAGATGAATATTGTAAAATCTAATCTCAGTGTTGGTTCTATCTTTTCTGTATAAAGCAATTACACATTGAGCCATGGTGTTTATAGTTCTGTCAAGGGGATAGAAAACACCATAACATGGATCTGATGGAATAATAATTATACAACTATAAAATGTTTACATAAATACTAGAAAATAAACAAAAACACACATATCACTCACCTGTATTTGGCATTACTAAGCGCCCGCCTAAATGGCCGAAGACACCAGTTGTCCTTAGTTCAGTCCTTGTGGGAAGTGATGATAGATTTTGGATGTATGGTGTTTTGTTTCTGGGATGTATTGTACTAAAGCTGTGGTTGTTTCCATGGGGAAAAGTTCCAGAATGATTCTTGCCGTGGTACTCCGCTCTCTCAGACACTCCCAGGGAAACCATGAATGAGCTCTGAACTTTGACTTTGATGTCTGACAGAGGATTAAAAAGCGAAGACTCTGTCATGAGTTCCTTGTCAAGAGGGTCCTGTAGGCAGATGGGCCCACTGTATGTTCGGCTCACTGTCAGGTCTGGTTGCATGGAGGAATTCAGGAGTAGGGAGTTACCTGGTAAATAAGTAAATTAAATAATTGACCTGTCACTCTGAAAGCATAAAGCCCCTCGGCTTTTCCTTTAACATCTGCTTCTACTAACTACACAGCAACCTGTGTGGTTGTTAGGGGCTCCACTCAGAGCAAGCTCTTCAGGCCCAACCTGTGTAACTCTGTGTAGGTGTCATAGGCTGGTCACTAATGAACATGACCATGAACTCAGGAGCTCTGGCTTTCGCAGTAGATTCTCTGAAGGTCACTGACCAAAACCAGTAATCTTCCAGAGCGTCTCGCATGCTGTCTTTCGAAAACAAACGTTTCTGGCACTTCTTCACGCAACTACCTCAGATATTATTGTTTACGGGATTACTTTAACTGGCAAAGAGAAGCTAACAAATTTTAAAAAGAAAAAGAAAGATGTTTTGCAATCTAGTTTGAAGCAAAAATAACATCTGTTCATTTTAAATGGCAAGAGATGACACAGCATGGTGACTAGGTAGTGCTGTTTATAACCAAGGCCGCATTGATTCCAACACATTTCATGCGGAACTCTGAATTTCTAGAACTGGGGGAGGAGATGATGTATCTTTGTTGCAAAAAGGGTCAGGAAATCTCACAAATTGCTCCACATCTGAGTGGCCAATTTGCTCTAATAATGCATATGTCACTCTGAGAATGAAAGGTTGCCCCACAGAGATTTTGAAGACTCCAGTTCAATGTGGGGAACAGCTTAGAATGGCTTCCTTCCTGTCACAAAACAAATGAAGAAAAAATCTTTATAAAAACATGAGATATTAGACTTTGTCATCTGTTGGGGCTCACCAATTTTTTCAAAGTAAAATATTAAAAAGAAATGCTGTGGTATTTTCTTGTGATGAAATAATCTCTTTTGTTAGTAAATAACAAAATAACCCTCAGTCTCAAACCTCCCACCCACATCAGTCCGTCAATGTGGCATCTCAAACTGAAACCCAAACCCTATTAAACAATTTTCCTTTGAGGCCTGACAAAAATATTTAAAGAATGATATTTCTGAAAATGTTGCAATTCTAGGCCATATCATATTAGCATCAATTGTATTCTCATTTTCATAATTTGTAGCAATGCCAAAAGAAAATCTATAATCCTGGCTTCCCCAACCTCTTTCTCTGATGCTCTATGAATCCACAGTCACAGAGGATGAGGGTCAAAATGAGATGAAATAACATTAGCATTGTAGATCTAAGGCTCCTTGATGATGCGTTTTTCATGTTTGAGGCTGTTGCACCAAGACACAGGTACAATCAAGGAATTGTGCATTTTAACAGAGCTGTATTGAATGCTATAGGTTATGGCCTTGATCTTGTTTAAGTCTTCCTAGGCAAGGGGTGGGAATTGAAGAACCAGCTCACATCCTAAAAGAGTTTGACACCGGAGTTCCCACTGAGAACTTGTATATTCTAAATTTATCTTACCCAATTTATCTTACCTTCTGAGATTTAATTTTTGGCTATTCTTAAAAGACCCATTTAGCTTAGGTGAAGCAAAGAAAACAAAATGCTTCCTAGAGTCAGACAGCACATACATGCAATTTGCCTGATTATACAAGTATTACATAAGATAAGGAGACCTGCTGGCACCGTAGGGTAAGCACTAGACTGTTAACTGCGAGGTCGGCAGTTTGAACTCACCAGCTGTTCTGCAGGAGAAAGCGGAGGCTTTCAGATCACCCTATATGTGCCCAATCTCATCTGATCTCTGAAGCTAAGCAGGGTCGGGCCTGGTTAGTACTGTGATGGGAGACCACTTGAGAATATCAGGAGCAGTTGGCTTTGGGACTTCTGGTGTGGCACTGTAGGATAGATAAATCCTAGACTGTGAACCACAAGGTCAGTGACTCAAACCCACCAGATGCACCTCAGAAACCCTGTACAGGGTTGCTATGAGTTGGAATCAACATAACTTTGTGGAGTCCTGGTGTGGTGCTATGGGTTAATGCACTGGACCACAAAGTCATCTTTGAACAGCAAGATGGGCAGTTCAAGCTCATCAGTTGCTCCTTAGAAACCCTATACAGGGTTACTATGGGTTCGAACCAACTCAATGACACTTAACAACAACAAAGATTAACAGGTTTCTGAGGCTGTGAATCTCTATGTCCATGATCTGTATGAATCAGAATTGACAACATGAAAGTAGGTTTGGTTATGTGTGATCGAGTATAAAACTGAATAAAGTTCATTGTCAATTTAATTCACCCCTGACCAGGAACAGTTTGCCAAGTCACCAGAAGTTTTGCTTTGGAATCACTTTTTAAAGTCCCTGGTTTTCTCTAAGTATAACATTCTATTTAGAACTCTCACTGTTCACTGTCCTGGTGCATAAGATGTGTTGATCAAGAAGGGAAGCCTCTATAATACAGTGGATGTAAAATTATCTATCCAGTAATGTGAAATATCAAAGGATTTTTCCCTTAGATCACTGACTTTGTGAGATTCTTGAACACATTTTTTTAAAGGTTTAATAAGTTTTGAAATGTAACATATTCTCTTAGCTATTCATAATGCATATATGTTTTGAGAAGCCCCTGAGTAAAAAGTCAACATTCCCCAATCTCATTTAGGTTAGAATATCATCGCTCTCATCTCCTACGTATCCCTCTGTGTTACAATTGATATTCTGTGCTTAAAGAAAAAACAACTAAATTTGTAGAACCATATTCACTGTGTTTATTGAATATCTTCAATATGCCAATGGTGGGCTCATGGTTGTGGTTGTTATGTGCCTTTGAGTTGGTTCCAGCTCATAGCGACCCTCGATAGGGTTTCTGAGGAGCGGAGGATGGTATTGCAACTAATTTTATTTTTACAAGACCCCTGTGAGATAGGTGTTGGTATCCCCACTTCACAAATGTAAAAACTGAAACTCAGAGAGTAGTTGATTAACTAGGCCATATAATAATTTTCAGAGTCCTACTAGCACAGTGTTTCAAGCACTCAGCTGGGAACCAAAAGGTCCACAGTGCGAATCCACCAGCCACTTCATTGGAGAAAGTCAAGGCAGAGTGTTTTCCTAAAGATTTAAAGCATTAGAACCTTCTGGGGGCAGTTTTAGTCTGTCCTATACAGTCACTATGGTTGGAATTGATTCCATGGTAATGGGTTTGTTTTTGTTTTTAGCAAGTTTGGCTCCAAATCCAGATGACTTCAGAACCTTTGAATCTATTCCTGAAACTGTCTCTCACGCCGCCATATTTCCTCTGCTCTCAATTGCTTTAGTTGTTTTTGTTAAGTGTCATTGAATCGGCTCCATATAAGGTTTCTGAGGAACAGCTGATGGGTTTGAGCAGCCAATTCAAACTTGCAGTCCAAATTGAACTTGTGGTCTAGTGCTTAACCTACAGTACCATGCTCTGAGATATTGATGCCTCATTATTTAATGGAAATATGTTTCTATTTTCATATGTGATATGAAAATTAACTCTTTGGAGTTTATTCCAAATTAAATCATAATACTAATTATATACACAAATGCAAGTGGTGTGTTCCTATCTGGGGTCAAGTAGACACCTCATACTGAGATACCCTGCGGCAAGTGGCAAGTCTCAAAACACTAGTATTTTCCATCATCTTCCAATTTGTTTTACTAGCATGCTTGGGCTTCTACTTCTGAACTCTGTCTGCTCAAACACTGCTGAACAGTGAGACTTCATCTTGTCTTGTGCTACAGGCACCATTGACACACAATCAACAGAACTAAAGATGACAATATTGAGGATGACAGTCAAGGTGGAAAACTTCATCCCTTGAAGAAAGGAAGTTTCATATTTTTTGGTCCGAAATGGAAAGATATGTATGTCTCATCTCCAACTCAAGACCAAGGCTAGATTTGGTTTGTAGAAGAGAATAAAATGACTCTCTGTTTGGAAAATGATTATTGCTGTAGTGTGACATGATAGATTTTCCATCCCCAACAACAAAAGATTACTTGGACTTGCAACATCTGAGAATCATTTAGGTTGGGAATTTCATCTTCCCCCTCCCTACCTAACTGACCTATTATTTAGCTTCTAAATTCATTTAGCATTTAAAATAGAAGTAATAAAAATAACTACAATGAATAAGCACAGTAATATATATATATATATATACCTGAGAGGTTGTGGTATAGTAATTGGTCTCCAACTTTGAATGACTTGTAAAATGTTAAACAGCAAAGATGTTAGTTTGAGGACTAAATCAAATATGAGGGGACCTCAAACAATTTGGGGAAAATGACCTTTTAATTCTATTTTTCCATGAAGTTTTTGAAGCTCCCACGTAGACATCCTTAAAGTGGGCTTTGTAAAAGAGAAGGTTTACTATCTAAGATAAAGTGACTAGTTAAGTTCAACACATATCAAAGGTAGAAAATGAACCTAATGGCCAACTGAGTTACACTGGTCCGTACAGCAGCAGAGCTCTTAAGCAGACCAATTAATGGAGCTTGGTCTATTAACGTGTGAAAATGATTTGGCAGCGGCTCTCAGTGCAAAGAGCTACCTTCACACAGGGCCAGGTCAGCACTAATGGCCCTGTGAGAGTGTAGTCTATGGCTCTGAGGACAAAGTGTTAGGGAGACCTAAACCGCTGACCTTGACGAACTGTTTTGAAGTTGAAGGTCTGGAAGCCACCTGTCAATGCTGAAGAGTCAATGACGTCCACGCCATAGTCACTCTGACTTCGTCTGTAAAGGGTGACACCAATGACCAGGACAGCAACGGCCACGATTGCAGCGCCCAAGCCCGAGTACAAAGCAATGTCGCTGGCATTCTCAATGCCTGAAAGACAGAAGAGAAATCTTAAATCATCAACATCAGCAAAGAGCTAAAGACCCACTGTGGGAGACAAAAATGAAAGACTATTGCATTTTGGGACTACTGCTCAGAGAAAATGACATATGTAATTGACCACAAGTTGTACTCCCCTTCACACAATAATCATGTTTTTAAAATATCTTCTCTAAATCAAAGGGATGCTGTTCAAAAATCTTACTGCATTGAATAATTTACCATTCAGAACAATCTTGAAGAGAATCAAAGAAAACATCTTTTTTTTTTTTTTCTAGTTAAAGGAAAGGCAAGTCTTTAATTTACTTGTTTTAAGAAGTCGTACTTAATTGAAGAGCTTTTTTGTTTTTTTGTTTTGTTTTGTTTTGTTTTTTTTGTTTTTTTTTTTACAATTTATTGTTATTCAAGGGAGGACATGAGACCCACACATGATGACAAAATATGGGTGAACTCTTCTACTTATATACAAGTATGATCCGGGCACATGCATTCATTGAGGGCATTCTAGGGAAAGAAAATAATGCAAGTGTCTACAAGTTAAAAGAGAAGAACAAAGCTCACAACAATGAATTTGAACTTTGGCATGGATCATTCCGTTTGAGAGAACACAGCAATATCAGTTTAGGGTGTACAATCATTGTGAGATCAACTTTGTTGTGAGATATGCAGGTCTGTGGTGCTGGGTGCTATATGTCAAAAAACAGATACTTTCTGGCACCAATTCAATGCTATAGTCTAAAACTTTATTTTGTGAAAGAGAACTGAACTCTGAGGGGACACATGCTGTTTCTCCCATACCTCTCCTACTCCATCCTATTGAATGCATGAGCAAAGCAAAAATAAGAGCGTTAGTTTTGAATTTAGAATTTGGATGTCTCCCCAACCCACCACAAAAGGTTGCAGCCACTTTCCAACTCTTTTTTTTATTATTATTTTTAGGTGTACACTGGGTGTGTTTCATTCCTGAAGCACATTCATAACGACTACTGCAATTCAGCATATGAGATTTATCTGAGACTACATAATCCTAAAAGAGGAGTAATCTTGAAAACTGTGTGGAAAGGAAGGTGGCAAGTGCTAACTGCAAAATTAATTTTCCTACAGATTATATGGTAAGTACACTTAATAGGTCCAAAAGTAATTACCATGTCACCCTGTGTTGGGCTTAGAGGATAAAATAAACCCATCGTATATTTACCTTGTAATTGCATAGCACTTACTATGCATTCACTGCACCCTAATATGGTACTTATGTTATCAAATGAGTAATACTAACCACACAAGTAAAGTGAATTTATTTTCAACAAAGTTAGTGGACTGTAAAATGAGGTGATACCAAATGAAAGTGCTAACAAGGAAATCAAGCAGAACCAGTTCAGTAAGCGGGCAGTAAACACATAAAAATAATTTGCAAAGGAGCACAGCTACCAGAAAGAACAATATCTGAAAGGTCAGAGGATTATCAAGTATTTCAATAACCAGAACATCTAGGTGGGTGTTGAGAAACAGCATAGGATTTAGATTTTAGTTGTAACTTCATAGTGAGCCAAAAGGGAGAAAGACAAAGAGGGAGGCAAACTTCTCAGACAATTCAGAATCCTGGGCACAGTGACTGATGCCAGCCTCTGAATTCCAATGCCTGCCTATGTTAATGCAGGAGAGTAACGTGCACTCCACTTTATTTTCCTCCTTCCCTCTATTCAATTTGCCTCAAGTGCAGCTTCTACCAAGAGCAGACAGAGGTCATACAATGTAACAGATGCATCAAGTCAGGGTAGCAGGAGCAGTAAGCACATTTTGGACCAATTAGCCTTTTTTTTTTTTTTTTTACTTTCCACCAGTTCCTTGGACATTATTAACTGATGACATAATCACCTTCAAAAGGTATGTCCAGGGAGAACACATCTACTCAGCAGCTGAGCACATACCAAGAAGCAGCCTGACAGTGTACCGAATGCAGCTGCTCTGTTGCTGAATTGGCCAAGAAAAGACAAAGACTTCCTTAGCTACCCAGGTACTAAAATAGGAAGGGCCATCAAACAGAAGGTAACCAGAGAAAAATGTCTCTGTTAAAAATGGATGATATCACCGGACATGATCGTGCTGAGATAAGATTGAGCAACAAAATGAGTTATCTTTGTTCCTCTGGGGTTCCAGTTTTTCCTTTGTGTTTCTACTCTCTTGCTACACAGGGAATCAGAATTCTCATTCTACTTCAAGTACAAGTCCTGCTTTATTTGGCTCTATGTGTTTCTTTTGCCAGGAATATTTTCTTGACTTAAGTCAGAGAATGAAATACTAAATTATAGAATTTGTTTATAAATCAGTAAAAGAATTTTAGGGATAGAGTGGGGGAAGAAGGAAGAAAAGATTATATGGAAAGCACTGCTTCTTAGAAAGCTCATTCTGACACCTGGTAGGACAGGCACATCTAAAAGCTAGGAGTCACTACAGAGGGATTTCTCTAGAAAGATAATAGAAGTAGTATTTATTTTACAAAAACAATCTGTTCTGAGCATTAAAAGTTCACGATATAATAATTTTCATTAAATCACCAAACATTTGTTGAGGGCCAACCATGGAATGGGAATGAGGATGTATAAATCTTTACTTGTTTTCTGCCTGAAAATGGTGGAAGACCCGTAAGTGAGGAGATTCTGGCATTCCTGGTACAGTTAAAGAGGTCAAAGTACTTGGAGACCTGGTGCGGCACTATGGGTTAATGCATTGGACTACAAAGTCACTTTGAACTGCAAGGTCGGTGATTCAGCTCACCAGCTGCTCCTTGGAAACCCTATACAGGGTCGCTATGGGGGTAGAACTGACTCCATGGTACTTAACAACAATAATGACAACATCAAAGTTCTCAAAGGTACATTTTTAATCTCTGAAGGGGTTTTATCAAACTACCTTACCCAGAGATCCAATTCTTCTTTTTGTTTTACTTTCTTCACTTCTCTGTCCACCCACATTATTCACCTTTTTCTGTTTTTGTTCTCAGTCTCTCTCTCTCATCTATTATTTCTTTCCAGGGAGAAAGAGTGGATTTCTCTATAAGAATATCTGAATGTTTACAAAAGTCATAAGCTTTCTTTGCATGTGCTCAAGAGTGACCCGGGAAGTATCTGAAGTCTAGCCCGTATTTTCCACATTGGCGTCATAGGAGAAGAGAGAAAGTTGGACATATGTATGTGTATGAGCACATGTAATCTTGAGGGGATATGCATGCAAATCACCACATGCATGGGTGTGTTCATGCATGCACACAGGCACGCATTCAACTATTCACAGAACATTAGAGGCCACTGGCTACTTCTTCCCAGGAAAATTAACCTAGCAACATGACCACATGGTGCCATCAGCACCAGAACTCTCGTCGCCTTCTCCACCTCCATTCCTGTGCTCAAGCTTTCTTTGGCTGCATTGCTGTATGCCTCAAATTCAGTTGTAATTAATTTACCTGCTAGGTAAATACCTGCTGGTGATAGACACTGAAACATCCTCCCATCCCCACCAGGTACCCAGTTCCTACCTACCTCTATCTAGTTATTCATCTCAATCTATCTATTCATCAGGGGCTGGTCCAGCATCCTCCCCTCATGAAAGTGTCTCTAGCCTGGCCAAACCAGAAACCCTTCCAAACTGTTGTTGTCAGAATTCTTGTATCACTGTGTGGTCTTTACCACTAATTTTCCATCATATTTGTTTGCTAATCATCCTAGTACCAGTGAGTTTGTTTGTTCTCCCTGTTTTAGACTGTTGAAGTGCAGTAGTAGCTCTATAATTTCCCAGAGAAACTTGGGGAAATCATTATGCACAACTATTCATTGGCTGCCTGCTTGGCCTCAAACTGTGTGAAAAAAAGTATGACAGGAACCACGTTCTTGACATGATTATAGAGTCTCTCATGCAAGAACTCTCTTCCATTTACATTTATACCTATATTTATTTATAGCAATCTTGTCTCTCACATACACAGCATTGCTAGTTTATTTGTTTAAAATGATTTGGAGCAAAAGTGTTGATATATTCTGACTGAGCAGGTGATTCTACCTTTTGGTAGAATACAAGGTCCTTTTCTCTGTATTTATGCTTCATAAATAAAAGCTTTACATATTGGTGTTCTACTGGTATCTTTCTTGTTTCCTTCAACCTTAGTTCCCTTTATCCTTTAGAACGAAGCTCAAAAGTATCTACAATGTGGTTTAAAAAATGATGTGTGTAATCTACAGATTCAAAACAAACATAATTGACTGAGAAATCACTTGTATTCCAAACTGGTCAGAACTATTGAGGAATGTGCTTATTGCTAGAAGGGGTATGAGACATCTGCAGAGAAAAGCCATAGAGATTACTACAGAGTTGGAAACTAGAATCTGGAAGAGGATATGTTTAAGGTTTCATTTGGCCTGGAGAAAAGACAGCTATAAAGTGACTTTGTGTTGATCTTTAATTCATAAAAGATTGTTATAAGAAGAGAATAGACTCACTGTAGGTGCTCAGTGACCATTCATTTATGATGAAGCTAGAAACCAACTCATCATCATTCCCTAACAAGAAATGAAAAAGAGGATGTGGTATTTTATTATAGCAATTGGACTCTGGTTAGATATTAAAATGACCTTTTCTACAATGAAGGCTGTTAAAAAACTGAACTGTATTTCTGAGGGAGTTTGTGAAATTTCCTTTTAGAAAGTCTCTAAAAACAGCATGATTTTACAGTACTCTGTAGTTATTTTATTTTTTGGTCAAAGTTGGTGAGTAGTACCAAATGACCTTTCAAAATCACTTCAAAACTTCTTAGTTCAAGGAATAGGCATTAACAAACTTAAAGGTTTTGTATGAAGTATAAAAATTGCAAGTGTCATTTATAGGAACTAATGTTTCTAAAGGACTAACCAGAAGAGCTGTCTGCTTGGTTTTCCTTTCTGCTTTTACCTGTTTCTCATCTAGGAGACACATTAATGACACGTGATGATGGTGATGCTTCA